GTACAGATACTCAGTGGTTTTGTGTGTGCGTGTCTATGTGTGTGTATGTATGTCTTGGGGGGGGAGTATTTTTTAATAAGTAGATTTGGCCTACAGGTTCAAAACACCAGTGCATCTGATTGGAATTTAGCCGTTTAAAAAAATTAAACTTCACCTATCTCCAAATCATTATCTTCAGTAATCTTAGCACAAGAGAACGCTGTATTAGAGCTAACAAAAAGAATCCTTTTAGACCTAGTGGCAGCCATATGAAAAACGTGGCATGCCATAATTCATAATGATTTGAGGTCCAGACTTTGTGTTTTATCTCCTACATCCCAGATAATTCTGCTTTGATCTATTTATCCATTCATTGCATACCCAAAGTCCCCTACTGCATCTCAGCTTCTAAATCAAGCCGTAAAGATAAAGAAAGGTTATGGTCTTTGACTACTATGTGGACAGACATTTTAATAAATATTTGCCCAAAAATGCAGTCTATACTACATAAGAAAAAGTAGTTTAGATGAAGAAATTTTCTTCATTTGATGTAGAGCATAAAGAACAACAATGCCTAAATATGATTTAAAAGAATAGCTGAAAAAAGAGATAAAAAGGAGATTTTGGTTAAAAAAAAAAAGTGGAACATTATGTGAAAGGCTTAAACAGAATGAGTATGTCTCCCTCTTTCGTGTTGCTGGAAGACAATGTAAAGAGGACCATGTGCGATAAAGCTGAGCGGTCAAGAACATGAAAGACATGAGAAAATCCTGTAGCAGATCGTGGGATCAACCCATAGAGTGAACCGGGAAGACAGGGCTATTGCTAGCTCTGTGTTCAACATTGTTCCTCTTGACCTACATGTTGGCAGGTGTGTCCTAAAAAAACCCGAAGGGCTATGTGATGGAGATGAAGACGTAGCATCCTAAAGGACAAAGTTCTGCCCGTTCCCTCAAGAAGGTCATCTTCAATTTATTAGTAATGGTAGATAACAAGGCGATACAGGTTCTCAAAAATTAAAGACGAGTTTAACTTGAATGACTACTGAAAATAATTTTTTCTCCTTCAGGCTTTCATCTTGAAGATTAAATATTGCTCCATGAGAACATGCTACCTCAGCAGTCACCCCAGTTAAGATACCATATCCCACGAATTCAAGTCTCAGCTCTGTTCCTAATTTCAACTTGCTTCCAAAGTACACACTGGGAGGCAGTAGTGATGTGTTAAGTGCTTGTTACCCTGTCATCTGTGAAGGGCACCCAGACTGAGTTTCTGACACCTGCTTTGGCCTGGTCCAGCCCCGATGCATTGTGGGCATTTGGGCAGTCAACCAGTGATTGGGATTCTTCCCTCTTTTAGATAAATAATAGATTTATGATTCTGATCACCTGATGAGTCTGATTATTTGGCTTACTGATTTTGAAACTGAAAATCAGGGATAGATGGATGGATGGGGAGAAAAAACGTTGTCCTCTCAAGGGAATGTAGCAGTTCGCATAAAACTGAAGTAATTCTGTCAAGGGAATCTAAGTTTGAAGTTCCCAAACATTTCTGCAAAGGGTTAAATAGCAAAGATTTTCCACTTTGCGGGTCGCACATAGTTTCTGCTGCAACTATTCAATTCCACTATTGTACAAAAATCAACCATAGACGATACATAATGAATGCCATTGTGTTTCAATGAAACTTTACTTATAAAAACTGGCAATGGTACAAGATGCCATTATATTAAACACATCTGACCTCATGTAATTAACACATACTTAGAAATTTCCCACCCCAGTGGCTGTGGCTCATAGAGGCTGCTTCCCAGAGGCTGCTCTGGGATAAATATATTGTTACTTCTTCGAGACCATTAAGAAAGCATGGAAGCAATCTGTGCACGAAGTTACTTTCAACAGTTAAACAAGTTGTGTAAAACAGTACCAGGTGGAACTAGTTTGCCTTAGTCGATAATGATAATTATGACTTCAGCTTGATTGAGCCCAAATTTCAGTCACAAATTCCCATTGATACCACATTGGCATTGAGACCATATGTCACTGATCCAATATCTTTGAAGGAACAATTGTGTCTTTTCATGTAAACCTTACTAACTCATGGATCACTATCTGCTTTAGGTGATGTGTGGCACATGCATTCATCCCTGAATACACACAACAAACCCTTCCATCCTCTTTCGAGAATTCATTTATCCAGAAATTCGTGAACATCACTCTCACCACGTTCGAACCAAAGTAGCTTAACTATTTTGATTATTTTCCTCCTGTCAACATGCCAAAACCTTTAGAGCTCTTTACCAAAGTCCCAATTGCCAAATTCCCATTTCAGCATTGAAGTGGTCGGAACCCAAAGACAAAGCACAAAGCCCTCTCAGCCAGTCAACTCCTATTGTTCTGTTTAACACTGGTTAAAAAAAAATAAATGAATGGTGAAACAGATTGTTTTTGCAACTGATAACACAATTTGTTCTCCTGCTTCATATGCTAGATTTCTGCCTGCAGCAAATATTTACAGCAGAGTTTTAACCCTCTAAAAATCAGCCTGGCTATGTAAAGACTGCAACTATCTCTTACACATATCTTTGAGGATGTGGCTTTAAGAAAGAAAAAGTAGTGACCCCAGACACTGTCCTATGTTCATGGCCAATGTTTAGTTACAAGGAAACATGCAGACAGAAAATATAGTCAAAAATTTGTTGTCAATTATTTAGCATTCCCATCAAACATTAGATAGTCAAAAATATCTTTAATTGATTCCATCGCTACCTATGCTACTTATTATTTATTACTATAACAAACTTCTCCATGGGAACAGCTAATTGTACCTCCCTGGTGGCCACTTCAAGTGGAGTAAGCCCTGCACAGTGCAGCCTAAGATATGCTGAAAGGTCTTCAGCTTTGGGGATTTGATTAAAACTGTATTACGTGAACACATCAGCAACCATTGCCAAAACAAAACACTAATTTAAAAAATCCTTCTGCTTTACTGCTTAACACAATTTAAAGCAGCTTGTGTATGTATGCATGCAATTTGTGTGTGCATGTGTGAGAGAGAAGGGGAAGGAGAAAGAAAAGCATAGGAAGAGTTAGCAGGAGGAAAGATCGTATATGCTGTTTCTTTTGTACACGATCATGCTTAAAGGAACAAATGTGGCATTCTGTGGCATAATAAAGCAAAAGAAAAGGGCAACACTGCCAGTTGCATTGTGGGTACAGGCAAAACATGTGGCCTGGTGGTAGAACTGCTAAGTATTGTACAGAAAAGTGAGTTGTGCAATAAATTATCTTGCCCAAATCTCCCTTAACACACACACACAGCCCTTCAAAAGAAGCATAATTGTTAATCTGCTCTTTAGTAGAAAAGACAGATGTTATGGAAATAGTAAGCCACACTCGGTGAGGAGTGTTCTGTAGAACGAGATTCCATAGGCAGGGCGCTACAAGGGAAGATTTAGACAATTAAACAACCGTTGTGAGGCATGCAGATGAATAACACATGCTAAATTAAATCAATACCAAACACTGTGTTGGAAATAGGTTAATTGTTTATTTTAAACTTCATAGAAGGAAAAAAAAAAAAAAAGGAAGCAGCAGCAGAGGAATTTGTCAACTGCACAGAACAGTGCAGTGCCCTGGCCTAGATTCACCGTGGCAGCCCAGGGCACTGGGGGCCCTGCAGAGGAAGTTCTCACAACAGTGATTCCAGATCCACCTTTAAGGTGAAGAGGGGATGTAGAAGGTGGAGACATTCAGATTTCAATACTCCGAGATGTTCTTCAGTGATGGACACTGAGGCTGAGCCGGAGCCATGTGGAATGGTGTTATCACCATTTAGCTTCTTTTTCCATGCACTCATACAGAACCCCAAGAACCTCCTGTGTTATATGAGTGAAACAGAAGCAACAGTTGTCAAGAGATGCCTTTGTATTATCCCAAAGAATTAGGGATTTTAAAGGCTTGTATATACAAAAAGCCCAACAGCTGATCCGTTTCTTTAGTTTCATGTCAATACGTGTAGAATAATCTAATGTAGGCACTTATGTAAGGATAAAAGAGAGCAAGAAGGTGATAACCTGCTTGTTCATGCATTTATTTAACCTAGATGCTAATTATTATATTTGAGAAAAACATGAAAGAGGAGGGCTCTTTAACTGCATGTGTGAAGATTGCTACCATGCTAGATACCTCTTTGTTTATTGTGCTTAAATTTTCTCTGTATATCTTTGTGAGATAAGGTATGAATTCCATTTTTATAGGTGAGGAAATCCAGTCTCAACAAGTCTAAGTGACACACCAGTTAGTAGTGAACTTGACCACTACATCTTTGGCTGAGTGTAATGCCCAGAAATTGCCTATAACCACAGCAAGTTTCGAGAAATACTCAGGGCTCTGAACTGGCAGCCCTGAGTCTATGTTATAGTCACCCACTCCCTGGGTAGCTTTGTGTAAGCTCCACAAGGAAAATTCTCATAAAAAAGATCAAAGAAAGTAAAGGTTTTTTTTATATATATATTCATGCTAACCCTTTATTAGCAAGACATTTTTGGTCAAATACGAATAGTAACATTGGGTTTCATGTAAATACATGCATTGATATTTATTCATTACTATATATTTTAGTATGCTATCCCTCCTATTCACAAAGTGATTAAAATTCATTTGTACTGTATTCTGTCATCTGACATCATAGTAAGTTGGAGAATTAAGAAATTTGACTGAAGTAGGAAACTGCAAATAAAAGCTATACGTCTTAATTGTTTCTTTGTATCTCCAACATTTTACCTTCACTTACCAATACTCGGTTACAAAGTAAATGTCCTTTCTTTAAATGTTGGCTAAACTTAGCTCCACCTCTGTCACAATTTCAAATCTGGTGTCCAAAAGCGAAGGAATAAACTAAAGACACTTTCAGAGTAATCAGAATGTAGAATCCTCATGGCTAAGTTTTCCCTAAGTTTTTCTATTTGTCTCATGCTCAGCTTTGCATTTTTTTTGCTTTATTTATTATTTATATTTTTTTCAAATATGGAATGCATCACAAATTTGTTTATCATCCTTGCACAGGGGCCAGGCTAATCTCTACATCATTCCAATTTTACTGTATGTGCTGCTGAAGTGAGCACTGTATCTTTATTTTTAACCACTTATCTTTACTGGAACACTCCACACAGCATATGCCTTCAAATAAAGAATTCTGTTTCTTTTTTGTATTAATACTTCAAAGTTCAAGGCATATTTAATCACTAATTATGTTACAATAATTATGAGAACAAACTAGCAGATCAAACACACACACACACACTGTGGTAGGCATTCTGTTCACTTCACTGGATGAAGGAGATAAAAAACACAGGTCCACCAGAGGCCATCCTTTCTTTCAGAGATGAGAACATCAATTAAGGTAGCAAACTCATGAAAAGGGAGAGACCTAGGGAGCAGGCAAAGTGCTACCTGGAGCACCACATCCCATATCGGAGTACCTGGCTTCAAGTCCCAGCTCCTAGCTCCATTCCAGCTTTCTACAAATCTGCTCCCTGGGAGGAAGCAGGTGATGGCCCACAGTTCTGTCCCTACCACGGATGTGGGCAAGGATGACTGAGTTCCTGCCTCCCAGCTTCAGCCTGGATAAGCATCATCTATTGGCAGCATTTGAAAAGTGAACCATCCAGTGAGCGTTCTCCCTCTCACTGTGTCCGTCTCTCCTGCTGTGTGTGTGTAACAAGTACTTTGTTTTTGAAACACAATTATTTTTTAAGAGAGGCACTTTGTAGGATCTATAAAATCAGCACAAGTGAAAAAGTACTGTGAAGACTAAAGGCAAACGTTACTGGACACCTCAAGTTATCTGCTGATAGAAATCGGGCTTTGAGTGCCACAACAGTAAAAGTAGAACAGAGAAACATGATATGTCACATAATGTACCACATATTACAGTTCTACTCCACTGTCCTTTGATGCAAAGAGCCACCTGCAGACTCAGTCAGAGCCTGGATTTGACCAAGAAGTGAGTTTAAACAGAAGTCATGTACAGCCTTAACACCTGCAGTAGTGTGGAGAGGGCCATGTAGAGTTAATGTTAAAATCCCATTTAGATTCCTTACGAATGGCACAGATCACGGCATTAGCCTAGGATTCGCATAGTAAATGTTCAGATCCCAGAATATCTTTCTGGGAATAGTTTATCACAGTTGTCCTTTGTCCCTGCAGGAGTAGGAGGTAGGAGTGGCAAGTGGGCAAATAACAGAGCAAGCCTTTATCTTTCAGAACTTGATGCTGTAATACCCTCATCTATCCTCTCCCTTTTCCATCAATGGATCTCACAGGACTGCACTCAACCTAGGGCACAGTCTAAGTAACACAGGTGGGAATTACACCTTTTTTTTTTTTTGGTTCACAGATAAACTTTTGAGTTCTGGGAAGTGTTCATCATATGGTTTTCAAAAAAACAGATTTTCAAATAATGGTAAATACTATATGCAATCTTCATATGGCAAAAATTTTAAAAATACCACAGAAATGAATGACACTTCTGTTTTTTAAGAGTAAGGATTCCACTCATTTGTATAAACATAAATATGAAAATCCATATCTGAAAAATATAGGGATTGGTCAATTTAATCTCTTGCTAGTATCATCCACTAATAATTTAATACACATACTCTTGTGCATTCAAAGGTGGACTTGGGAATTTTGAACTGTGAAAACTTAAGCTAGAAAACAATTCTGTGGTATCTCATCCAACCTTATCATTGACCAATGAGAAAATAAGCCCAAAACACCAAGAGATGAAGAAGCCAGGATGAAGAAAGGAAACCCTTCTTAGCCATCTAGGTTTCTTATAAAGGAACTATCTTGACACCACGTTTGGGGAAGGGGACGTGGGAAAGATTAATGATCAGGTACACTGGGAAATAGACTTTCAAGTATTAGAAGAAAGGTTTGAAAAAGTTTTTTGTTAACCATTCTCCAGGGTGTCTGACATATATGCAAACTAGATATTGTCTCACTCCCTCTGTGAATACAGCAGTTACATGTTGCTTGAGTGGCCACTGATAGCGTTACAGGGGTGCAGCATGAAGAATTTAAGCATCAGAAGAATATCTGGAATTAACACCAACTAGCATCATATACTCCATTACCCCAAGGGCTCAGAGACTTCTTAATTTCCACAATCTTCTCACTTGTAGAATAAAATCAATGCATGTTTTTCAAGACCCAGATCTTCCAATTTGCACATACATCATACTGATTTCTACTGAATTCATACCTTCAAGGGGTTCTTTGTGTTCAACCCTTATTTTCTCCCTCCTAAAACTTGTCTCCAAATACTCAAGATTCTCCTTCACAGTCAGTGACAACAACAAAAAATCCAACCCAGTTCTCAAACTAGAAACTTGGAAAACTAGTCCAGATTGTTAGCTTCCCCCTCCCGCTATTTTCAATCCCCATTAGCAAGTCCTGTTAATTCTTTCTCCAGTACATAGCTCCCATCTTCTCATTGCCACAACCTAATCACTCTCATCACAGTGACAGTCATCTTGCATTTCCGGTCCTTAACTTGCCATCTGAAATAACCCACATGCCTCAAATACCTGTTATATGAAGAAATTAAGTCACAAATCACAAAAACAAAAGCTAAAAGAAATAATGGAAACTGTGGCATTTAGATGAATAGCTATATGCAAACACATGGAAGTTATTCTGAAACTGAGTACATTGAAAGGCATTTTGCACGTGGTGATTAGGAATTCTCGTTAGAATTCATTGTTTTATCGATACAAATTGGAGACTAGGCCTCTGATCACCAATTTTTAATACAAGTATGCCAATGTCTTCTTTCATGACTTAGAGCAGCTTAGTCTACTCTTTAGAATCTCAACCCTCTTTTGTAAAAAAGTCATTAATGTTACAATCTAAATAATTAGAGTAATATTACTAATAGTGTGAATACTATTCCTGCCATTGTTCCTGCAAATACCAACAGGAAACTAATCTTGAAAACTCATAAGGAAAGTGCTTCTGATATATGAAATTTTCTCTTTAAAAATATATATATGTATTATTATTATTATTATTAGAAAGGCAGACTTACAGACAGACACACACATAAGGAAAGATCTTCCATTCACTTGTTCATTCCCCAAATGGCCACAAGGGCCAGAGCTGAGCCAATCCACAGCCAGAGACTAGGAGTTTCTTCTGTGTCACCCATGTGGACACTGAGTCCCAAGGGCTTGGGCCATCCTCTGCTACCTCCCCAGGCTACAAGCAGGAAGCTGGATCAGAAGTGGAGCAACTGGGATGTGAACCAGTGCCCACATGGATGCCAGCATTTGAAGGTCGAGGATTAGCCCGTTGAGCCACAAAACACTGATGCTGACCAATAAATCTTTTTAAAATGTCGTTACATTGATCTAAAAAAAGTTGAATTTTTACTGTCTGCATGTGTGATAGTTTTTGTTTTAATTTTCTTCACATCACTTGGCTATGAAAGAGGTAGTAAGGTGCTGATTTTCAAGTAACAAAAAACAAGAGAAACGAAACATCGATGGCCTCTTTCCCAATGTCAGAACAAATGATCTAAGTTAAACAGTAACTAAATTCTGTAAATGAAATATATTACTTTACAACCTCTGCTCTAAATACTAGTTAATCCTCGACAGAATTTTCTCAACCAACCTCAGACTTCAGCTTTTCTACCTGAAAAAAATTAAAAAGAAAAGAGACAGAATAGTATCTCTGTCAGGACTAATATGAAAAAATAAAACTATAGTCCACACGAAAATTGAAATACTTTCTCAATACTCAATGAAATTTTTGCTATAATTATATTCTGTGTTTATTTTTGTCTATTTGAAAAGTTGAGAGAACAAACATGAAAGAAAATGAAGAGAAAAAAAAGAGAGCTCTTCCATCAGCTGATGATTTTCTTCCCACATGACTGTGGTGGTTGGGGATGGACCAGGCTGAAACCAGTAGCCCAACACCATCATTCTCTCCCATGAGGGTAGCAGGGGCTCAGCCACTTGCACAGCCTACTGCATTCCCAGATGCATGAGCAAAAAAATCTGGATCAGAAGCAGAAGGGCCAGGACTGCAATTGGAATTCTGGTATGGGATGAAGGGGATCCCAGTTGGTAATTTAGCTTGCTGCACTACCATGCCAGTTCCCTTTGCGGTTTCTATTCACAGAGGTTTTTTTCTAAGACATGCCTGATTCAAGGGCACAAGCTCTTCACCTTGAAGAGTCTGTTAGAGTAGGCTCCAAATGAAATGATTACCATCATTCCAGAGATCAAATACCCAGTTACCAAGGTTGACTACTCAATCTAAGTAGTGTTCCTTGCTGAAAATCCTTCAGACTTCCCCCAGAATACTTGGCTATGACCCTGCATGAGTCTTAATGATGCAAAGAATACATAGGCTATGAAATGTAAAGTTGCACCATCTGGGTATGAAGCCTAGCTTTGACTTACCTACTGTGTGACCCTGGGCCAGTTGCTTAGCCTCTTTGTGCCAAAAATTTCTAATTTATAATATGGAAATGGCAATAGTAAATGATTCCTTCCATTTCAATGAGAATTTAAGTCAATTTTTGCAGAACATTTAGGATAGTGTGTGGCACATTATAAACACTAGTTTTTATATTTTATGATTTACAGTAGGCTGGTGAGGAAATACAATTTGAATTAGTAGATTGCAGCTGGATATTGGATTGTCCTGATCAAGGATTAGTGTTGTTCCAACCACTTTTGTTTGGGTGACTTTGAGTTTGTATTAGAACACAGGTATAAAGGAGATAGATGAATAAGCTTGGCGCTGATTAATTAAGAGAGAAACCTCTGTCAGGAGAGGTTGAAAGTTCACTGGACTCAACTTCAGAAACTCCAAGTACATAAAGTATGGGATGGCATCACCATGAGAATAGAACCATCACGTGGGCAACTTTCACGTTTCTGTTGAAGTCTATAGTTTCTCATTTGCCTGTAAGACTGAAAACCAACCTGGGCTCAGCTATCGTTATCACCAGCTTGCGGTTGGTTATTCTGTTGCATCTGGGACTGCCTAGAAGTCACAGAAGAGAAATTTGGGGAATCTTCTAGATAATAACTGACCCCCTCAGCATCCACTCTGGAGAAATTTGACTAGGAGGCATGGGGCAGACAAAGTGTGATACGCTCAAGATCACCAGTCCAACCCTGCACGAGCTAGGTATTTTTCAAGAAAAGGAAATGTTGTACCAGCCTGAAGCCAAGTTCTTACATGAAAGCAAAGATGAATGCCAGTCTGAGGCCAGTGCAATGGCTCAATCGGCTACTACTCTGCTTTTAAAAGTCAGCAGTTTGTATATACCCTGGCTTGTGTCCTGGCTGCTCCACTTCTCATCCAGCTCCCTACTTATGGCCTGGGAAAGCAGAGGAATATGGCTCAAAGCTTTACGAGTTTGTACCTTTGTAGAAGCCCTGGAAGAAGCTCCTGGCTTTGCATTGGCTCAGCTCTGGCCATTGTGGCCATCTGGGGAGTGAACCCGTAAGTGAAAGTCCTCCCCTTCTCCCTCTGTAGATCTACTTTTCAATAAAAATAATTTCTTTCTAAATAAAATGAACATCATTCTGTTCATAATGTAGTCCACCATGTGCCAATCATGCTTCGTCTGGGACCTTATCGGCCCCACCCCAAGACCTCCAAACCAAAACAAGACCTCATAGGATTCATTTATGCTGCATTGAGTTCCCAGGTGCACATGCTCATGGAAGGAGTTAGTGGACTCCCTTAGGGGTCACATGTTGCGTGTGGGTGAGGTCAGAGGAGGCTGTGGTTTTGAGTCAGATGATTGAGCAAAGGTGAAGAACTGGTTTGAAGTGGGAGTGAGAGAAAGAAAGATGCTGCTCGTGTTTGGAAAGAGGAACTGTACTGCTCAGACTCTTCACCAATCAAAGCAGCGACGATCAAACAGTTCACTTTCCAACAGCAGAAGTCCATAGTGTGGTGAGAAACTGCAACAGGAAGGGGAAAAAAACCAAAATATTTTTAATTGAGTATATGGAAAAGGAACTTCCTTGTTGCTTTAAGACACTCAAGCTCCTAAAAAAACAGAAAGGAAACAGCTCTAGCACAGTGCCTAGGCCTCTGCAGCTCGCGTCATTTCTCTGGGCTGCATTCTGTCTAACCATCCTTCCCAGTCCTGTGCTTTGTGGGTTTTAATATTTTGAAAAACCATCCTGTTAATATCCTCTAAAATCCATTTTGGATAGCTACACTGTAAAATGTGTATAAAAAGCCTCTTAGCACAATTGTTTTCAAATGACACTGTCAGTGTATTTTTCCTCATTTTTGTAATCATTATCACTCACTGTTGCTTGCAATAACTTCATACAATCTTCGTGTTAAAGTCTGTTTTCTTATGGATTATTTTTAAAAACCTGAGCCTTCATTGCATCACTGTTATTCTTTTTTTATTTTGCATTTTTAGTGATTGTATCAGGTTCCTGAGAAATACCACAATCATTTATAGTTTTTTTGTTGTTGTTTTTAAAGAAATCAGCCTGCTATCACTTATCTGATATGATATGTGCATCCTATGAGGGGGCTACACTCCTGGGGCAGGGACAAGAGGCAAATGCTATTTAGTATAAAGAACCTTTTATCGTCAGATCATTAAGTGCTTCACAAATATTAATATATCACATTACTTCCCTGGGAAACAAGTCAATATGATTAAACGCATTTCACAGAATGGCCAAGTGATCTGCTGAAAGTCCCAACTAAAGTCATGGTGGAGCGAGGCCAGAACACAACATCCTGATGCTGGTAATTCACAACACTTATCATAGCTTACTTAGCCTTCACTTTCGCCTCAAAAAAGAAAAACAAAAAGTGTCATGGTTTGTTAATCTAGCATAAAGTGTTTGTAACAATGAATGTACTTTTTCTTTGCCCCTCAGCCATCCATTAGGTTCTGCTACCCTGGTCTTTGACCTGCCAGGCGTCCCTACGGAAACAGCAGGTGCACCTGAAATAAGGTGAAATAAATACTATGGCTGTGTGTGTCTCTGATGTGAGAGATGTAACATAAATGAGAGTGTATGCAACATCAAAAAGAGAGCTGATATTTCCAAATGCTTCAAATAGGAGGACACTTTGGGTATTATTATTAGCATTGGATTAAACAACAGCCATATGAAGATTGAAATGATATTCTAATTTTGGTTTGACCAAGGCCAAATTCTGAACAAATTTGGAAAGTGTGTAAAGAAAGGCTGCAAGAGGTCTCAGAGACAGGCTGTGGGTTTGCTTTGCTCTGGCACTGCTCCCACTGAGCCTTCTCCCACAAGTGCCCTCGCTGGGTGACACAAGCAACTCAGCTTGGATCTCCCTCTTCACAGGGTCCCCTGCAGCCACCGAACACCATGCCCTGCTCTTTGGGGAGTTTGCATGCATCAGCAATCATGATTTCTATCATCTCCGTGGATGAGGTATGCCAGGCAGAACAAAGCAAGGTCAAAGGAAATCTGAACCTGTAGGCACAGGCCACTGAGAACTACAGTAACTGAACAGGCAGGGCACCAGGGATCACACTGTTGGGGTTCTCATAGTTCCTCACAGGCCTTGCTTTGTCGTCTATAACCTTATTAAACCCCTGTCTAAACTTTACCTTTTCATCACTGATACTTCAAGGGATGTTCTAAATCAAGTCAATCACCATCTAATAAATAAACATATGTTTTTTAGAAAGTCTCTCAAGTCTCTGGAAGACATAAAAACTGTGTGCCCTGCAGGTGCCTCCTTTTCACTCTGCCAAGGCCTCTGCATGGTGCTGGGCAACCTGTGGGCTGTCCAATCATGTTTTCAGGTGCAGTTTTCACAGTGATCACAGTAGTGCATACACTGAGCCTCAGACTCGATCCAAACCTGACTGTCGGCCCTGTATTGTTAATGATAATAGCTTTCATTATTATTGATTGTAACAAAGCAACTAAGATCACTAATGATGATTATGTGAACGCTACAAAGTTGAAACCAAAATAACAGCAAAATATAAGGTTTTAATCCTAAAAGGTTAGAAATTACTTGTGGGACCAGAAATCAAGGAAAGTAAAGCATAGTCAACATCATGGTCCCCAAAACCATTAATTCTCTGCCATGTGGAAAAGTTGTTAACAGATTCAGAATTACTACTGAGCTGGTACACGGTTGTTTCATTAGAAACAATGTCAAAGATTCAATTCATTGAAATGTTAATAAAAAAATCCTACAAATTGTTATGTGTCATGGAAATAGCAGGTGTGCAAAGTTCACTAAAGGGCAGTTCAGGTTAAGTATTAATGGATACTTTAACAATAGATGTTTGCTTTTTCTATGCTGAGAAAGTAACTAATACCTGCATATATACTCATTCTTAAACCAAACAGTAAACCAGTAAATGACTATATTTTAAAAAGCAAATATCATAGAGTATATAATGCTAATTTAGGTATGAAAAATAATTTTAGCTACTTTTCTACTAACAAATGAGAATATAGAAAGCAGACTAGATATTTCTTGATAGGATTTGAAAGGCTGAGATAGGGGACAGCATGATGGCTCAATGGCTAAAGCCTCAATTTGCAAGCATGGGATCCCAAGGGGGCACCAGTTAGTGTCCAAGCCACTCCATATCCCATCCAGTTCCCTTCCCAGGGCCTAGGAAAGCAGGAGAGAGTAGCCCAAAGCCTTAGGACCCTGAACCCAAATGGGTCAACCGGAAGAAGCTCCTGGCTCCAGCTTCAAATCAGCTCAGTTCCAGTTGTTGTGGCCACTTACAGAGTGAACCAATGGGTAGAAGATTTTCTGCGGCTCCCTCCCTCACAAATCTGCCTTTCCAATAATTTAAAAAAAAGGCAAATCTTTAAAAAGGGTCAAGATAAATGCATTCTCCAAATGTCCAATAATTTTGAAGAACACATTACACTCCTAAATTTCATTGATTCTTCCGCTTTCCTTCTCTAGTACAGATATTCAAGTAGGATAAACAGGATAAAACAACTAAAATTTGAAATACAAATGAGAAATTAGCGAAGTGGAGAGAGTGAGGATAAAGAACAAAACACAGAAATAACATGTATATCCAAAAATGACTTTGCAATATATTTTTCTTCCTCAAATATATTCCACTCTCCAAAATGTCAACTCATACTAAAATCTTTTGTCTCTGCTTCTCCATTTGCAACATGAATATTAGACTTCCTTGTTTTTAAATCACGAGCACTTAGTTGTAAACTGACAAAAGGCATTCAAGAATCAGGGTCTCGCTCACTAATAAGAGTTTCTGATTTAGGAGACCTGCTACTGGACACAGAAGTGAGCATTTGTTTTTAACAGCTCTATCAGGAGGTCTGTAAGGCTCTGATTTTCAAACACAATCAAGAATGAATTAAATAACAATTCAAAAGAAGTGTGGACCTTTCTGATGGGTCTGTTGAAACCATTATATGACAACCAAGTTGAAGGAAGGGATGCAGAGTTTGTGATACCAGGGCTGAGAGAATACACACACACACAGGGTTGGGAGGCTTGAATTTTGAATGTTTCGACATCTCGGATTTATGAGCCCTTAGGTATTTTTCACTCATTCATTTTCTTCAAGATTTACGAAATAGAACTATTTCAGCAACTATCCAACATGCATAATTGGGGAGAGCTTACTATTTAGTGCCAAAAGAAAAGATTTCCTCAGTCCGTTTAAGGTCTTCCTCTTAGAAACAGGAAGCAGTTTCCTCTTGTGAAGTTGAGCACGGTTCAAAGGGTTTATGTTTGGCCTCAATTCAAAAGTCACACTAAATTTGGCAAAACATGATACCTATGGACGGGAAAAAAAATTTGCATTACAGCAGCTAGTGTTCAATATTTTTGAATTCATGCGGCTGATGCACACTTATACTCTTCTGAAAAACTCTTCAGTGAGGCATTTCCCGAGAAATTGTGATGATCTTCTGTGGTGGATGGATCGGTAGTATTTACGCACTTCTCGGGGACCACAAGGTTACGCCTGTGTGAATGAGCTACTTCCTATTAAATAAATGACTCTTCTTTCACATGTTTAATAATAGTCAGACTTTGCTTTTTTTTCCCTCTGTTCTCCCAAAGAAGTTTCTGTCTCTCTCGTCATTTGTTGTTGTGGTGGTGAAGTTATTTTCTTGACGAGTTCCACCCACTCGCAGTTAACCTGAAGGTCTTTTCCACTGTAGACACGCTGTGAACGCGCAAAAAGGAAGCGTGTTATCACAAGATCAGCAACTCAGATTACAGCATGATCAGAAGTGACATCACGATGTGGTTTCATTAATGATATTAGAAGACAGCAAACTATTTTCAGCCACTCAGTCTTAAAAACTCTGCATCTGTTCCTCCTCCTCTATCCACCTGCCCACACCCCAAATGGCTTCAGAGATTCCTTCTCAGCCTCTCGGTCCTCCCTGAGGTGTACATCTCCTCCTGTTTTGCAGTGCAGAACAGAGCAAAACAAAACAAAGCAAAGCACATTAGCACTATTGACCCGATAACTTTCTTTTCCCAGAATAAGATCTGAAGAGAATTCAAGAAAACCACAGATACTAGAAGTGATGATGTCTACTTCCTGTGAATTTGTGTGGCTTGCTCATCAAGACATACCCCCTTTTCTATTCTTATTCTTTGTTCTCTGGTCACAGTATTTCTACAATTGTCTGAGAACTCCACTTAGCAGAAAGCCCTAATTTATATAAATATATGGAACTTTAGCCAATTTCTCTAGCCCTATCTGGAGCAACGAAACCAGGGTTTTATTTTGGCTGTCAAGAGTAATGAAATTGGTTGCTTTGAGGTAGGTGTGCCCAAGTGAAAGAATTTGCCTTTTTCTCTCCAAACAAACTCCATACTTTTTAAGTAAAATTATGTACACTCCCGTGTCTTCTGGTGAATGGAAAACAGTGGGATGAAAACTGTATGTAGGAAAAATAAGGATACTGTATACTCACGCTAAAATACGGAGGTTCAGGGTGCTGAGCTAAGAAAAAAGTCTAGACACACAATGCCAGTAGGTATTCCATATTGGATTAGATGGAGTTAGATAATGTCAGTAGATGTTATAACCATACAGAAAACACTTAGCCTCTCTGGCCTTCAAGTTCCTTAAGTCTGAATCAGAATCCCCAATCCTTACCATCATTCGCTTTAGAGACAGCTCATTCCCTACATTGAGTAGCATGTGCGGGAGCAATATTGGCCTCCATCCACTAGATGCCAGTAGACCTATCTCCAGTCATAACCATCCCAGAAATTGTTATATCTCTGCTAGGGAAGGGGATAAGGGACAGTCACCAATTGAAAAATCACTCTTCTAAAATAGCAGTTTTAATTTCTGGTAACTTTCTGTTCTAAAAATTCCTTAGGTTTAACGTTCTGTAAGTGGACTCTGCCAAGTTCAGGGAAGGGTAGGCATTTAGTCTAGAGAGGAAGATAGCACTTGGAATACACACATACTCTTCACTGTAGCTTGCTGCTAAAGCACCTCTATAGGAAACCTGTGTTGAATTGCTAGCTCCTGACTTTGGTTTGCTTCAACCCCAGGTATGGTGGACATACAGGGAGTAACCAGCAGTTCAAAGATCTGTCTCTGTCCTTTCTCTCTTCTAAATGAATATAATCAATTGATGGAACATAGTAACATCAGAAATATTAAACCTCAAATATTTGTTGAGATCCCACCATACAGAACAACAACTGAAGGTAGCATTTGACTATTACTGTGTTGAACGTTTTGTGCGTAACAGCTCATTTGATGGGTGGAGATTGAAGGAAACAGTGATTAGCGCCAATTCACAGAGAATACAAAGTACAAGACACTAATCAACCGGTGGAGGATTACATCACTAGTAAAAGAACAGAAAGTCCAAGTTGCTCTGTTCTGCCTTTTGCCAATGATTGTACCTTGCTGCGTGGGGTCTTATGGCAGACATGATTTTAGGATGTTAACAGATCCATTCGTTTTGGGTTGTATCTATGGGACAATCATTTTCTTCATATTTTTCTATGTGGGAAAAAAAAGGGAAGAAAGAGGTTATGATATTTGCCCAAGGTCAAAGAACACTAGATGACAAAACTGAGAGTTTTACTCAATCCATGATGTCAGTCACTACTCTACTGCCTTTCAACATAAAAAGTTTCGGTACCCGTGCTTGGCACCTGATGAGTCAATGCAAATCAGACTTTTTAAATGGCAAGGGGGTATCGTCAGTCTCTTTGCTATAAAGAAATTGATGCCAGAGGATGAACACTGAACTTATGAATATTCTCTATTCCACCATGGCAAGAGATTTGGCTTACACTTTTCCCACTCAGTCAAAAGCAGGGCATTTGAAACACACCCAATGGCAAAGCTATTCATGATATGACCATACTCTTCCAATTATTTTTCATTATATGTTCTAGAGCATTCATTCACGCTGTTCTATGCATCGTGCCAACTGCTGAGGATAAAGCCACACATAAACTTGATTCCTCAGGGGGAAAAAAAACCTGAAATGTGATAGCAACAGAAATTCACAATAACACACACACGAGATGGAATAGCGGCAACACAAATACTGTAACACATGCATTTTTAAAAGCTTTCTCTGTGGTGAACACACAGAAAACTGGAAACAATGACTGAGCTTGTTGTAGCTTCACAGTTACAGACACAGCATGGAATTCAATCCTTTCCCTCCCTCTTGTACCCTACAGAAGAATATAGTGGGTAGAACTGAACCTCTCACCAGAGACTGAAATGTTTTGAAAGACTTGACATTTTCCTGAATTTTTATGACCTTGTATTCAGTTGAATAACAATATTGGGGGCAATTTTCCATCCTTCATGGATATAAAGGACAAAAATGAAATCTAACAAATCCAAATCAATTGATAATATCAGTCCAAAAATGAATATCGCATGAATAGGGAAAACTCCACAAGTTACATATCTGAGTTATCTTCCCATCTTGCAATGGCCACCAAGCAGAAAGGAAAGGCTATTCACAAAACTGAGCAGTACTTGAGAATACCAGTGTTGGCAAAATTAATGCAACTATCTGTGTTGGTAACTCAAACACATCTGCCTGCTGCCATCTGCAAAAACTCTTTATCAAGCTATACTTAACAGCTCATATGCTGCTCCACCCATAAGGATGGTTCGTTTGATGCCATATGCCTTTTTCTCCCTGTACATCATCATTCACACAAGAAGGGGCCCTTGAACTATGTAAAGGAAAGTGATGCCTGGCAGTTCATTCTCTGTTAGATCATCTTTGCTCCATCTGATAGAATCCGAACTTGTTTTACCCTGGCTCTGGGGTTCCCACAAATCTATGTAGTCTGCAACTTCTTTCAACATCTGGTCTACTTCTCCTGAAGACCTCCAATGTCCTCCTGCATTTTCTGACTTAATATGTTTGGTACACTACTCAGTTTATTAACATCATGAATCATTTTCTAATCAGCAGCACCAAATTTCCTACACCAAGAAAGAGGAACTTAGAAATGAGAAGATACAGTCACATATTAACTGCCATTTCACAGAGATCAGTGGGTTGAATTTGTTTCACATGTCCAAGATTCTCAGAATATCAGTTCACTGAAGTCATGTTTCCTACAATTTTCATGACCTTTAACTACGCAAGTAGTCCTCTTTCCACCTGTTCTCTGTCTAGGAAAGAGAATGAGAAACTACAGGAAAAACATGGATTTCCTGCCAGGATGACACCCCTTCATGGCTAGAGCTGTAGGTTCATTCTGAGTTTTGGGATGCTTATATCAAGCGACTTGGATAAACTATGATTGTGAGATCCTCTGAGATTTAAACAAAACTCTGTAAATAATCTGTTGAGTGAGTCTTTGGACAATGTGGCCATGTCAGCTTTCTCAGTCTTTTGTTGCTTGAGAAGTGAGGGTGTTAGACTGAGGAATGAGTCTCTGGGCAAAGAATCACAACTACTCCTATTTCTCACACTCCACTGTAAGATTTGGGGAGACCATTTGTAACATTTGGGGAGTTACTGGGTCCCATTAAGAATCTAATGAAATTTCTGGAGAGGAAATGAAAATGTTTCAGAAATTTGAAAAACAATTCGGGGGATTCCACATTTTCTTTCTTGCTTACCAGGTCTAGTCCAGAAGCCACTCTTATTAAAAAAAAAAAATGAAAACTTTTTCAAGTGCTCAGAATGGGCATAGTATAATTAGTCCAAAAGTGCTCCTTGAGTAAGCAGATGAATTAAGCCCACCCTGTGATCTATGTATTCTCTGACTTGACAAGTGCAGTCAAGTCATCCTTGTTATCCCAATAAATAACTAGCTTACTGAATATCTACCAACCTATATTACTACTTCATTTGGTCTTCAGAACGTTCAGATACACATATCATTAAAAGAAACCGTGCATGGATTTTAAAAATGTTCTCACTAAAATAAGCCTTAAAATAGCTTGTTTGAAGGCAGAATGACAGAACAAAAAAGAGAATTTTCCATCTGCTGTTTCACTCCACAATGCCGGCTAGACCAAACCAAACCCATGAGCCCACAACTCCATCTGTGTCTCCCCACATGAGAGGCTGAGACCCAGGTACTTGAGCTAACACTCTGCCTCCCCAGGGTATGTATTTAAAGGAAGCTAACTTGAAAGTGGAGTCTGGACTCAAGCTCAGGATTCCAAATAAGATATAGGTATCTAGTGGCTATTTTACTATTGCATAAAATACCCACACCGTAATGCAAACTTATAACTTCATTTTCTGCAAATTTTTGAAATGCCCTTATAATTAGAAAGCTTGTAGTGTTAGCAGTTCTAAAGACAGCTTATACTCTCTAGAAGTTAGATCAAGTCTGTCCAGATACAAGAATGACAGCAAAGAGTATCAGTCTTCATTGGTCACTAGAGCATCTTTGGCTATTGAGGCTGGTATGTTAACCCTTAAGTTTTATTTTAGTCAAAGAGGCTGGTGTCTTCCTGAGAAACTCGAGCAGTTCTTACTCATGAATGTCCAAGAAACCGCCTCAAGAACCTCAAATGAAGCTGCTAATTAATACATGCAGTCTTCTGATGAACTTATAATACCTCATTCAAACTAACTGGTCCTTTCTAACAAATGTCATGTTTCTACATATGGCTCTATTTTCTTTACATTTTTATTATCTTGAAAAACAAATAGCCTGAATATATTTCATTATCATTTGAGAAAA